CATAAAGTAAATAATTACTAAAAATATTTTACAGTAATTCATTCATTATTTTATAATAACAATATCACGTTAATCACTACACTATGTGGGCGAACAAAATTATAAAGCTAACCCTGGAAACTTGTGACGTCAACCGAAAAATGGCGTACATATTTACCTTTTATATATTCCTTTTTTTTACTTACCTAAAGAAGGAAACTTTTCGCTTCTCTTCACCAACTCGATCACTTGTATTTATACAATGTTTTACAATACACTTGCCCATGATAAAACGTCTAATTATCGAAATCAGCGATGCGTACACGTCAAATGCTAGGACACGACTGAGCGCTGGGCTCCAAATCAGGCTCCGAAGTGTTTTCACCAAAGTCGCTCTATAAGCCTAGGTGGTCTGTGGTTTTAACTAAATCGGCAATGGATAACGAGGACAACAATAATACGTTTACTACTATCGAACGATAGCGGTAAGTTTGCATCTTTTTTGTTTGTCGTGATCCAAAATATCACTTGCTAAAATAATAGTTTAGTAACACCATGTACTTTGTTTCTACAAACCTCTTGTCTGGGATTGCACATTATCATTTACAGTGAAATAACTGATTGAATTTTATGTTTATTTTTCCTTTTAATTAAAACGAGACGATTGTATTAAACTGGCCAAAATTATGTATTATTGCATTAAAACATTTTATTTCTTTTGTGTGTATTTCATACATTTTAATTTGGCAATACTGATTTGCGCAAAGGCTTGACTCTCTGACTCTGTTAAGTTCGGTTCGGCAAGCGAGCGATGATGTTTATCGAATGGCATGACATTTTTTGACCAGGACCGTACTAAGATTTATTTCTTCGCTACAAAATTGAAGTTCAATTTTCTTGACAAAACGTGGATATATGAATTTCTTATATAAGGCTTTTTTATTGCATATATTACTAGGAATCTGCATTTTATTTTTTCTGCACTAAAGACGCCACACCCTGTATGTCAAAGTCCTCCATGGGTCAGATTAGGACTTCTTGCGGATCATAGAATTATATCTTTAATGAAAAACATTTAAAAAACAGTTTGGTTTACATCTCTGAAATGTAACATTCAATTGTTTTTTATATATTTCTTTGAAATTGTAAGAGAATTACTTAAAATTCTAGTCTTTATCATCTTTTCCTCGATGAAGAACCCTGTACAGTCCTTGTTTATTAATTAAGGTATACCTATAAACCGTTATCAAGGGGATGAGCACCCCAAAATAATAATACTTGTATAATTTTCTCATACATATTTAAGGAATAATTAAATAAAAACTTATACCAAACAAAAAGTCTGTAACTAGGACAGGTTTAGAGGAAGTCTGTAAAAAATAAATAAATATAATAAAAGATAAAGGCAACATGTACTACATTGCATGAAAGAGGAAAAAAACAAGCAATTTTTTGTATCCACAGCCTGCTTCGATGACAATTTTTTTGTTCGCGTAGAGGGCGCAGCAAATTACATACGATACTTCAAAAATTTGTTTACACGATGTGAACGATATCAATTTTGCCATGAAATTTTATTAAAATAAGTTTTCTCTATTTCTTAAAATAAAAAAGTTAGACGACCCTAAACTGTCGGGTACTTTTCCGTTTTTTTTTATGATTTCTCATAAAATTGGCAATGGATCTCAAATTTGTTTTTACAAGCATCAAGGCCTCAAAAAATGTAACAAAAAACATATAAAGATTTTTGTGATGCATTGTGTATTAAGCGAGATACATAGGAGAGACTCTCTTATAGTAGACAGCCTGTATATATGTAGGTAAGTTAGTTTAAATAGTTTTGTTTTCAACGCAGAAATATATGGTGCCTTGCTGATACAGACCATTAATATAGTAAGTAAAAAGCAAATATAGTCCACATGTATTTTTTAAGTAGTCCAAGATCGCTAATATTTGGAAATTATAATTTTTTCAAAATTGTAAATCATGTCTACGATTTTTTTAGGTGCAAATTAAAAAAATAATTAGCCGTTTTTTATTCGAAATCTAATAACATGGGGTCACCCTATATATTATTTTCAAGGTAAACCAAAAAAGAGCTAAAGATAATATATGTTTCATTCAAAAGAAACATTCTGGATATCATTTTTAATTTTATTATAATTTTTTTGTTTTTCTCTTGTAATTTGTAATGAATCGTATTTTTTATGCTTGATTTGTATTTTTGTATTAGTCATTTTTGATTAATTATATTTTATATAATACTAAGTGCTCGTCTACATGTATTGTAAAACTGTTCCAATATATTTTTGAACTAACTCTCGAAATGTTATTAAAAATAAGGACAATAGAGATCAAATGATAAATAAAATATAGGTACTCACGAGTATTAACACACTGACTAATTGAACGAACATCGTGGGAGCGTTTGCAAATGTGATTTTCACACACCTTCTTCTCAAATAATAGTAAACGCAAATGAGAGATAATTTATAATGCAAATACCGCGGATATTGATAACGCTATCTTCTGTCTGCCGACTTCCGTAGACCAACACCGTCCCCAGACTGGATTTGGTGGATTTTCCCTGTAGTCTCATAGGAAATGTTTGTGGATCCCCGTTGGACCACAAATGTTTTATTTTTTATACTGGACGGAGAAAAAGGAAACACTTTTCCCATCCGATACTTTTAATCTTCTTACCCTTCGTTTCTTATTAATTTGTTTTTTTCTTCTTCATCCAGGGCAGTATGATGGGATGAATGGAGCATATGGACTGGACCTAGTTTTATTTATATATCTTCGTTATAAAATGCTTACTTGCTTTGCTTTATTTTCGATTATACAAAAAAAAAAATGAAATTTGTACTGACAATCTAAAACCACTAGATCTCAGTGCTAACAACTCGTTATAGATCGCACTTTTAGTAAAACAATGATAGAACAAATACACTTCCACCCAGGAAATGACGAAGCGCTACGCTAAACTAAAACAACTTCCAAAGGAAGTTGTTTAATTAATTGAATTAAAAATTTTTCGCCTTGAAAGATTATGGACATCAGAAAATGTACGTTTCCTGTTCTGTCCAGCAAATTTTGAAAACAGTCTTGGGGGGGATTATGTTTAGTATGTGAGCGATTTTCTGTATGTTCAACAGGCATGCAAAATTTAGGAAACATACGAGATAAAAACATGTGAAGAGATATAGTACTAACTTGCTAGATTTTCTGAAATGCTGGACAGAGTAATTATTTGTTGTGGCTAAAATATTGCATTGCACTTATAGTCCACAGTACAGCCCCCCTGGAAAGTTGATTACCACTTTATAACTCGTGAGGAGCTTCGTTTTGACGAGTCTACCACACTTTTTTTTCTGCGACTTTTCTCGATTCCTCCGGTTTTCCATTCGGAAAATTCCAAAAACATGACAATTTTCCGGGGTCTTGAAAAGTCAAAACTACATCTTTTTTTAGCTTAAGTTACTGGAAATTTTGTTGCAAATGCCGATTTAAATTTGTCCGACAGAAATTCTTCCGACATTGACGTGTCTACTGGCCGAAACATGCCATAATGACAGGGTATTGAAAATTAATTACCAGATAGGTAATTTTTAGTAAATTAATTGTAAATAATTAATTCAGTCAAAAAGTATTGTTGTCCGACAAATTTCAAGCCGCGTTTTTTCAGTCCGACAGCTGAAAATCGGAATTTCCATGGGGTATGATAAATAGATTACCACATGTCAGATAAAAATAACACACGATAGAACAGTGTTTTTTATAAGCAAAAATTGTAATATCCGACAAAAATATATCCGCAAATCGTCAGTCCGACAAAAAAAGATTAAAAAAAATTTGGTAAAAAATGTGCACATGTATTTATAATTTCTAATAAGGTATTTTCATGTATTAAGCAAATTTAATTGTAAATCTTTTATGCTTAATTTAGCCAAATAAATATCGAGAAAAGGATTAAACGATTTCAAAAAAGTATGTATGGTGTAAAAAAATTATACACAAAAGTTTTGGGATTTTCTTTTAGAAATATAGGAAAATTTTTGTAAAGAAAAATAACAAACGCGAATGAAGACTTGAAAGAGAAAAAAGGATTTTTATATCAAGTATAATATTAATTTATTTAGAAAATATGCATTATGGACTAAGATAATATGTATGTTAATTACTTTAAACTGCCTGAAACAATTTATAGAGTTATCCAATCCTTTTAACTTTTAAAGTATTGTAGGCGAAAATAGTTTGAATATGTTGGATTTTGTATTTATTAATCGTCTTAAAAAGTAACTTCATTTGTTTATAACTTTTAAATTTTTAAGTATAAAATAAGCAATATTATAATTATTTATTTGAAACAAATAATAATTTACATAACAATANATCCTTTTAACTTTTAAAGTATTGTAGGCGAAAATAGTTTGAATATGTTGAATTTTGTATTTATTAATCGTCTCAAAAATAACTTCATTTGTTTATAACTTTTAAATTTTTAAGCATAAAATAAGCAATATTATAATTATTTATTTGAAACAAATAATAATTAATAACCATTTATAAATATGAAATTTTTGGAGTGAAAAAATTAAATTTCATCACGAATATTGATTTATTAATTTTTTAATAATTTGAGGACACTTATGTCACTATTTTGTACAGTAAATTTAAAAGTGGAAAAAATGAAAATTGGATATATGGTAATCGATTTATCATATCCCGTGAAAATTCCGATTTCCAGCTGTCGGACTGAAAAAACGCGGCTTGAAATTTGTCGGACTGAATAATTTACAATTAATTTTATTAAAAATTACCTATGTGGTAATTGATTTTCAATACCCTGGATTTTGGCATGTTTCGGCCGGTAGACACGTCAATGTCGGAAGAATTTCTGTCGGACAAATTTAAATCGGCATTTGCAACAAAATTTCCAGTAACTTAAGCTAAAAAAAAGATGTGGTCTTGGCTTTTTAAGACCCCGGGAAATTGCCATGTTTTTGGACTTTTCCGAGTGGAAAAGCGGAGGAATCGAGAAAAGTCGCAGAGGAAAAGCGTGGTAGACTCGTCAAAACGAAGCTCCTCACGAGTTATAAAGTATGTGGTAATCAAATTTTAAGGGGGGTGGGGGGGATGTCTGTACTGTGAACTATTATGTCTTAGGGCCGGTTTTTCATTCTCTGGTTAACAAATTGTTACTTTTTGTATTGGAGCTGTCATAGATTAGTAAAGAAAAAAAAAAATAAAAACGAATTATTCATTCCTCGTGAAAAGCTTGCATATTAAAAGAAAATTATTGTTTCTCCACTAAAACAAGAAAATACAGTGATGGTTAACATTAAGTTAGGAGTTAACCAACGATTGAAAAACCGGCCCTTAGCCAAAGAAACTTTTATTGATGTCTTACTTTTATAAAATTGTTATTAAAAACTACTTTTCTTCTTGTTCTGTAAAAAATATATCATTTAAAACTAAAGCAATATTTCAATCTGCCATTTTCTTATGTCATAGGTTGTAAGTTAAAGAATAATACATATTTAAAACAAAATTATATAGCTTCATGGTATGTATGTACATTTACTAGCTGCTTCTTCTATTACAGGATGTCAGTGGGACTAAAAAAGTATTTTTTAAAATTAATAGTATCATTTATACAGGGTGTTACAAACACGTGCATGTGAACAATTGAACAATTTGTAATATCTTGTTTCTGTAGAAGTTTTCTTAAGTCTTCTCTATTACTTTAAATTTATTTTGGCCAGGAGTACTGTATTGTATTTATGATTTATTTGGCGTCTGGTACATACATACGATATATTATGGAACATGTATATGGAACACAATAATTGATATTTACTGCACCACACCTATTTTAAAGCCATCCTTGAACTTGTTTAAAATTAGTAGTCATCATCTTAAATAATGCATGAGCGGATCATAAAAGGTTCCGGTTTTAAATGGAGGTTAGATTTTCCATGTTCCTGGTAGTCTCACGCTCCCGTCTATTTATGTTACATGATGCACGAATAATATACTTTTTTCTATTGCTTAAAATTTTTTAACGCCAATTCCAACTAATAAGACAGCAGAGTTATAAATATGCGCGATAAATAGATGATAAATACTAATAATATACTTACCTACATATACAGGGTGTCCCATAATATCATGTACAACGGAAGACCACAGATTCGTGGACTCAAAATAAGCAGATTTAGGCTAATACACCTATATTCGAAATCGCTTCGTTTGGCTGTTGGATGACCTCAAAGTTCGTGAAATTTTTTTGAATTTTGTGAATAACTCGCATATGTATTAATCAACTTTGATTATTTTTCGGGTGTGGACTTTTGCTTTCAATCTACAAATTTTAATGTTATACAGAGTATTTCTTAAAACTCACAAATCCTATAAAATTGATGTATGGTGATAATATTCGTTCAGAACTTTTTCCTCCTTCTGGCAATAATCATAACTATTTTTTATTTGATATGATTTATTTTGTTTTGATTTATTTGAATTTTGATTACATGAGCGGTTTGGGTACAAAAAAAATTTTTTAAATGTCTACATTATCTTGCCACCCATATTACAGTACTTAAAGTGCTAATAGTCGCTGATTTTGTAAGTTGACTGTAATTTCAGTTTCCAATTCTTAGAGAGGATACACACATTCGACGAATTAGAGTTATTTACATCGTGCCCAATTTTATTGAAATAATTCGTAAAAACAAACAAATACAATAAAAAATGCTAGAGATAAAAGTAACAAAGTTGATGTTACTGTTCAAAATGACCACCGTTCTTTCTATAACAAAGGTTAATTCTTGAGGGCTATTTTTTAAAACATTTATGGTATTTTGGATATGCCTCCACAACTCTTCTACAATGTTAGATGTGGAAGCATGCACTGCTGCTTTCAGAGTGCCCCAAAGATAATGGTCGCAAGGTGTTAAGTCTGGTGAACGTGTTAACTTTTTTATTATTCTTGCATCAATGTGAACATGTGAACTTAAAAAAATTATCATAAAATTTCGTCAACAATAACAGTCCAACCTTCAGTTATTGGATATAATTAAACATTGTTGACTAAAACCAGATTTTTATATTTTGTAATTAATTTTTTATACATATTAATCACACTTTATCAGTCTTCATCACTCTTATCAATTTATTAAAATGTAATATATAATAGCCTGTTTGTTATCAGTGCCAACAATATTAGGATGCACTAATTAATTATTTGAAGCTTATGTGTGTACCTGGTTTAAGCACTCTGAAAGAAAGATAATGAATTTTTGAGTCGATGGTAGAACCAGGTATATATAATTTTTGCTGCACTGTTTTCTGTAAAGTGAAATCTTGTATGTTTTACAGCTTACATAAAAATTTGTTGTGAATTGATCTGTTGCAATAACCTAAGGAAATGATATTAAATTAAGATATGGTTCTAGGATTATTGTAACGTATTTTCAAGTAATGTCTTTTTTCAGAATCCAATACTACTTCTGTTCCTAGTTCCACAGTCAGCAACATTCCAACGGCAAGCATATTAGAATCTCTGCAAGGTCCCATAATTCCCACCGGTGTTTTCTTGCACAGTCGTACAGCTATAATGATGGAAATTGAAGATACACCCACAACAACCTGCGAATTAATGTGTCAGGCGATCGTAAACAGCGATGAATTGGGACTGAATAAACAGTTGGCATCTCAAGTGTTTACGCTTTGGATGGTGAGTCCTCTTCTAGGTATGTAACAATTTTGTCTGATATGTTACAGTTTATAATGTCACAGATCTGTTGGTGCTAGAATCAATTAAATTCAGAAAACATTCATGATTTTAAGGTTGTAACAAACTTAACTTGTACAACATTTGCAAACAAAAAATGTGTATTTTGGTGGAGGATGCATCTGGGTGTAATATATGTATTTCATTGCTTGGTTTTCAAGCTTTCCTCGTAATGATTGAACAGTTCCTAGGATGGTTGCTATGTTGTCAGTTTAAACATTGAGAATTTGAGTGGCACCTGTCTTTTCGTTTCCTGACATTACTGTACTGGACATTAAGTCATCTATTTTTATTTATATGTCATTCTGATGCTTGTTTGAAGTCATTGACCTGTGACATTCTGGTTTTTGAATTTTATATATGGGTCATTTCCAAATTCCAGACAGTTCTAGGCTTTTGTCTTGGATGAAATTATTTCAGGTGTTCAGAATTTGTATTGTCTCTTTCTGGAACATTAATCAAAATTTTATCTTAATTGAATTTTGATATTATGTATGTCTATCACATGTCCTGTATCTGTTTTTTGTTTTTCAAGCACTGTTTGTATCTCTGTTGTTACTCAAGCAACATATGTATTTTTTAACCTTGTACCAACATTTTGGAATTTCTAATCCAACGACATAACCAACAGGGAAATTGTTCAGCCATATGTATTTTTCATGTTGAGATTTTGCTCTAGGTTTTAGCTACATGTAAACCCTTTTTAATAATCAATTTTTAATATTTAGGCAAATAGACTGAAAGCAACTTAGTCCCTTGTGAATAATCTTAGAATAAATTTCAACCACACCGCAAACTTTCTGATTATTATTGATAAAAATAAGGACATTATCGTTTAGTAACTTTATTAGTAATTATGAAAACAATGTTTTAGTTCAAAAGTGGATCAGTGGTACAATGAAATAATATGTGCAATAAGAATAAAACCTTAATAAAATAAAGTATGAATCAAATTCATCACTTATGTTAAAATACCTATTGTTTTTCTTTTTCAAATAAATGTGTCAGCTACAAAACTGTTGTCTATTATAATAAGCAAAAGAAAATCTCACTTGAGAATTATTTAAAAAATCCAACTATTCAAGACTATCTTGTGAAGAGTATCCAGCTATCCAAGAATATCCAAGTCTATATACTTATTTTTTATTTACGTTGTTAATATTTAATCAAAACAAAACGAAGCCAAGCCAGTATTTAATTGCTAAATACTTTTCTCGCTGTTTTCTCAAGTTTTAGAAAACGGACTTAACTGGGTTTTATACCAAACCCTTCAATTCAACATTTCATAAAGTCCCCTTTTGTAATCTTGACTGGGTGTAGCTGTACGATACCCTGTTGCAGAACTGCAACTCAAACCATCCCACAGACCATATGAAACAAGACAATATTGGAGGGCCCTTGTGGAACAGTACAGTCATGCGTCGTATAATAGGCAACAAAGGGATGAACCGAAACTTATATTTCAAAGGAATGTGTTCTTTCCACTGCATCTGGAAGAAAAAATAAAGTGAGTACAAAGTAGCAAACTATGTGGTCAAATCGAATAGCTAGTGGAACCTTTGATAATCACAAAAAGAAAAAACTATGTTTCCTTTCATAAGCTGGCTATAAATTTGATTTTTGATTTCTTTTTAATGACGTGGCTTGATTTTTCATTTTTTTAAATGTAAATTATACAAAATGAAACTGCGATAGATAGTGGACTGACATCAATTTGAAGAAACATATTAAAAGTAATAACTTTAAACTCTGTAATGGATGCATTTGCCAAAATTGATTTAATGTAAAAAATTCAGGGATTTATTAAAATTTTGTTAAAATAAGTATTATGAAAATAATATTTTTCTATCACTACAGTTATTATGACATCTCTTCTGAAATATTTTTTTTTAACTTAAGAAAAATGAATATACAATTTCATTAAAATATCAATAAAAAGTAAATAAATAAGTATAAACTTCGATAAAATAAACTTTAATGCCATTTTAACCATTTCAACTTAATGTGAAATAAGTTCCAAAGCACTTGTAACCCCACATTAATTTTGGAGAAGTTAGATTTGGTTTAAAAAAAATAGCTGCAGGTTCAAATGTCTCGCAAGCCAATGATTTTTCAAAAATGATACAAGTTAGTTGGCTAGAACTTCATGGTATTAACACCCAAGGTATTTTTTTTTTAATTAAAATATTTTATGGTTCAATTCAATGTGTTATCCATGGCACCCTTAATTGTATCAAGAAACGATTGCATTATAAAAAAATTAATTTTGTGTTTACCTACGTTGATATGAACACTAGAAAATCATCTAAAAACAGAGTCCAACATTTCACTATCAAAATATGGCGCCTTTTCTTTTTGAATTTAACGCATAGCCCTTCACTTTGTACCCAAAAAGGTAATAAAAAATACTAAATATATAATCTTTCTTCATTTGTTTTTAAAGTAACCTAAGTACAAAATACTTTATACAGGGTGTTCTCAAAGTTGAGTCATTTATTTTAAGAGCTGGTAGAACTTGTAAAAAAAGTTGATTTACCAAAAATCGTTTATATAAAAGTTGTCAAATAAAGCAATTATTATTAACAATTATTTAAAAAAACTGAAATTTAAAAACTTTATAATACAAACCTGATTTAGTGACATTTTCGACCACTGCGTTGTAAAAACATAAATTGTTTGTTAACTACATATACTGGGTATTTCTTTTTTTATTGTTTCACGGTTTTGAGAACGTTTTTCAATTTGACATTGTTAAATACATAATTCGTACGGTTGTGCGTGATATTTTTGATTTGTAGGTGTTTTGTGCAATAAAAATGGCAAATGTTTATGAAAACAATGAACTAGTGGACATAATATTAACTTATGCGGAGTGTCAACAAAATGCATGCAGCATGTCGCTTGTACGTGAAAAAGTTTCCTTTACGAAATGACACAGGATATTTAAAGGAACAACGAGGAGGTCACGCGCGAAGACCTCCTCCACGCGAAATGGTGCAGATCGAGGAAGAAATTTTAGAAATTGTCGAAAATAACCCAACAACAAGCACTAGGTCCATGTTAGTATACAAACAATTTATGTTTTTACAACACATTGGTCGAAAATGACAATAAATCAGGTTTGTATTATAAAGTTTTTAAATTTCAGTTTTTTAAAATAATTATTAATAGCTTTGGCAACTTTTATATAAACGATTTTTGGTAAATCAACTTTTTTTACGAGTTCTACCAGCTCTTAAACTAAATGACTCCACTTTGAGAACACCCTGTATATTTACAACAGTGTCAAGAATAAATTTAGCATTTACAGCTTCTCAAAATATCTGAACTATGTTTTGTCTATCATCTTAGTAAATGCAAGAAACTCCCCAAAAATATCAGAATTGGCACGCTGTACTTCTCTCTAAATGTAACGAATTTTTAGAGATCAAAAAATTCTCGAATTGCTCTATGAAGAGGCACGACACAACATCCTGGAAGGAAGATATCCCTGTGAAGTGGTGCATTACATCATGCTAGGAGGTATACAAGCTCGAATAGAACTGGGTCCTTACAATCCCCAAGTACACTCTACGCATTACTTTAGGGAGGAACAAATCAAGTACTTACCGATGCACGTGAGGAAAAGTGCCACATGGACCTGGCTCCCTATCAGTTCGAAGAACTCGGCAGAGGTACGTCTCTTGGAGCAGTTCAAGAGGATTCCAAATTCCGCCACCAACAGGAAGTTGATGAAGAAGTACCTGGAATTTTGCTGGTCCCTGCCTTTTTATGGGTAAATTTTTAATAGAGGCATGTGAAAAAGGTTTAATTTTTCAATAGAGGTACTATTTTTATTAATTATTTTAATATCTGTTGGTAAATAGTAAGATTACCTTATAATATGTTGTTTAATGAAAGTAGTTCAAATGTACCACAACTAAATACTGTTATCATGGGGGTTGTTCTGAGACCAAAAAGCTTTAATAAACCATGAGTCTAAAGTAACTTATTTTCAACATTTTTTAAATTCAACAACCTGTGTTGATTTTAAAAAATAATATACACGGTGCCGGAAACTAAAGTGACAATGGAGACACCAAATTTTAAGGATGATTTCATATCAATTTAATATACAGATAAATTGTCTTATCCAAAAATGCTTCCTGAGAGAGGTAAGACTCTTTGAAGATGACCCTTTGACATTATTTTATTTTTAATTGTTTAAATCGCTGTTTATCTAAAAGGATCAAATATAGGTTATGTGTCATCTCCCATACAGACAGCGTTTTGATTTAAAAATGATCTTTTAACACGTTGAATATGTATGATGCACTTTTTGTGTCATGAGGGATGGGTTCCCATGTGTGAATGATGCACTTGGTGCATCAACTTTTGGTGTTACCAGTAACTCTAGTAGAAACCAAGAAAAATTTCCAAAACGAAGTATACACTTAGATTCATGGTATAATAATTTCTGATTCTGTCATCAAATTCTTTAAAAAACTAATCTGTTTGCATAACACATTATGGTACGTTTGAACTACATCGTAAATAACAATGAATTAAATTTATTTTGTTTCAGGTCCGCATATTTCGAGGGACAAGTAGAGCAGCCGGTTCGGGGCTTAACCTCCCTGATGACCCACCAAGACATTCCAGTATTAGTAGCTATTAACTCAAAAGGTCTCTACATCGTAGACGATCTTCAGTGTGTAAGTAAAAAACTTGCATGTCTCTCTGTCAGCGCTAACTCCTGTTTTCGTTTCTAGACCATCTTGCTAGGCTTAAGATTCGAAGAATTCAGTTGGGAATACGCGAGGCCCTCCAAAGAAGAAGACCCTAACTGCCTGCCGTGTCTCTTCGTGCAGTTTATGGTCGTCGAGAACGGAGCAAGGGTGTCGAAGATATTGCAGGTGTTCTCTCGGCAGGCGAGCCTTATGGACACGCTTATCACGGTTTTTGTGACACAACTGAAGTCCAAATCGAATGATGAACCCGATAAAGCTTATGAGAATCATATTAGTAACGAAAACGGTAAGTTATGAGATATGAGTACAGTGTGTCCATTCAGTGAACCTCTCTTCTATCGCAGGATTTTTATTGATAAGGGAGATAGGCAACATCTGATACTTTTTCATTAAATTTTTGAGATACTTGGCTAGGTCGAATTCACAAACAAAAATGTTTTATAAAATCATTTTTTTACTTTTTTATTTCAATATCCGGAAGTCTACCTTTATCTGTGGTGGTTTTTGAGATATGACGATTTAAATAAATATATCTTATAGAGGGTGTTACAAATTAGTAGGTCAACTCGTTAACCACATATTCTTTGGACTAAAATAATGGCACTTTTCTTATGTCACTTTTCATTTCAGAATTTTCAAAATACAGGGTGTCAAAATTAAAATTTAAAAAATGATTTTTATTGATTGTGATTGTAGAGATATTTATTTGAAATTTTGCAAATATTTTGATCTTAAGTCGACACATTGTGTAGTTTTGGTTTAAAATATCAAAGCGCAAACGGAGGTGAGGGGGATTGCAGTACCCATGGACTCCCTATTTTTTGTTTGAGTACGCCTATGCTTTCTAAATATTTTTTTTTAGATAAAGCGGCGTTTTATTCTATTTTTTTCAATCTTGTAAGATTTTTATTTGGGGCCTTGTTTACGAGATATTGTAACTTCTTTGGATACGCGACATCGATTTAGTCAACTGTAGACTTTATTTTTTGGGACTATTTGAAACTATTTATTTCAATTTACTGAATAAAATGGGAATGATCATCATCATGATGAGCTAAACCAAACTAATCTAAAAAAGTTGCTAATCTCGTATAGCAAGCCCCAAATCAAAATATGTAGTTTCAGCCTAAAGTGCCCTTTACCTCATACAATGCTCTGTGGTTTAGTTAGTATTGGTACCATATATGAAAGAAATTTATCATAAAATTCCAAAAATTAAAGTCTATCATCGAAAAAATTGATGTCGAATATCCAAAAAAGTTACAGTATCTCGTAAACTAAACCCCAAATAAAAATCTTACAAGAGTGAAAAAAGTTGAATAAAACACCGTTTTTATTCGGAAAGTATAGCCATACTCGAAACAAAAAAAATAGGCGGTCCATAGGTACTGCANTATTTTATTTTTTTCCTTTTATTTCAATATCTGGAAGTCTACCTTTATCTGTGGTGGTTTTTGAGATATGACGATTTAAATAAATATATCTTATAGAAGGTGTTACAAATTAGTAGGTCAACTCGTTAAACACATATTCATTGGACTAAAATAATGGCACTTTCCTTATGTCACTTTTCATTTCGGAGTCTCATTTTCAAAATACAAGGTGTCAAAATTAAAATTTAAAAAATGATATTTATTAATTGTGATTGAGATATTTATTTGAAAATTTGCAAATATTTTGATCTTAAGTCGACACACTGTTTGTGTAGTTTTGGTTTAAAATATCAAAGCGTGAACGGAGGTGAGGGGGATTGCAGTACCCATGGACTCCCTATTTTTTTTTGAGTACGCCTATGCTTTATAAATATTTTTTTTTTAGATAAAGCGGCGTTTTATTCTATTTTATGCTAAACCAAACATATCTAAAAAAGTTGCTAATCTCGTATAGCAAGCCCCAAATCAAAATATGTGGTTTCAGCCTAAAGTGCCTTTTACCTTGTACAATGCTCTGTTGTTTAGTTAGTATTGCTACCATATATGAAAGAAATTTTTGTCGAATATCCAAAAAAGTTACAGTATCTCGTAAACTAAACCCCAAATAAAAATCTTACAAGAGTGAAAAAAGTTGAATAAAACACCGTTTTTATTCGGAAAGTATAGCCGTACTCAAAACAAAACAAAAATAGGCGGTCCATGGGTACTGCAACCCCCCTCCTTTCCGTTCGCGCTTTGATATTTTACACCAAAATTACACAATAACTGTGCTGACTTAAGATCAAAATATGTGCTAAATTTCAAATAAATATCTCTACAATCACCGAAATTATCAATAAAAATCATTTTTTAAATTTTAATTTTGACACCCTGTATTTTGAAAATGGGGCTTCGAAATGAAAAATGGCATATAGTCCAATCAGCTGGAAGTTTTGCCTGTGAAGTTTTAGGGGAGTTTTGAAAATTGGTATATTTATAGATTTTAACGTACTCTTTCCGAATTTTTACTTTGCCACCAATTTTTTTTTCCGGAAGTAGCCGCCATATTGTAAAAATGGCGCTCCAAAACAGTTTTTCGACCATATTTCCTTTCCGACTCACTTTACGGTGAAAATAGTTATGTAATAAATTAAACTAGAGAACGTTTTCTATAATTTAATATATGTATCAACTTTTTTTCTGTAAAATTAATAGTTTTGTCATACGAGCGCCGCAAAGTCTACTCCAGCACGAGTATTGACTCCGTATCTTCCTCTTCATCACTGTCTTGCAGATCAACATCCGAATTAACGCAGGTACCTACCATTGCAATTCGCGGAGATGTTCGGAACGAATGTTGTCGTGCTTCTGCTTCTGTCGGTGGCAGCGATGCAATATTAAATTTATTTTTAGATGTTGACTTCGTGAAGCATGTATATCTGTAGGTGTTTAACGACATACTTCTTACGCCACAGTAAACGTACAATACAAGGAGGAAGCGTTCTCCAGCTTCAGCAATGCTTTCCGGGTCAGGATTTGGGTTTTTAAATACCCAGATGAGCTCGTTTAAATCTCGGTTCTTTAGGAGTACATTGGCACATTTCATTTTCCCTTGAGTTCCGATATTGTACCACAGCCACTGAAGGTGTGCAAGAATAGGATGTTATCTGCGGCTGTTTTATCTATGATACTTTCTGTTGAATATATTCGTTGCAAAATCGTTCCTTTTCCTGTTTTAAGAACATATCGTTCGTCCAGAAGAAGAGAGTTACATCTCAAAAGCGAGTTTAATTTCTNCCACTGAAGGTGTGCAAGAATAGGATGTTATCTGCGGCTGTTTTATCTATGATACTTTCTGTTGAATATATTCGTTGCAAAATCGTTCCTTTTCCTGGTTTAAGAACATATATGTTTGAACACGTAGATAGAGCCGTCAAAAGAATAAGATCTACATCTTCATCGATAACTATAACGGAATCAAATGTAGATGAAATGCTGATTGCCGTATTGAGCCCATAGTAGGCAGGGTTTTCAACGCTTAAAATATTTTTCGTTGATATACAAAATACTTTGCAGCGCTCGTACGCCGAAACTATTCATTTCACAGAAAAAAGATTGTTACTTAAATTATAGGAAATGTTCTCTAGTTTAGTTTATTACATAACTATTTTCACTGTAAAGTGACTCAGAAATATAAATACCAATTTTCAAAACTCCCCTAAAACTTCACAGGCAACCCCCTTCTTGAGCGCCAACTGATTGGACTAAAGTCCAAAGAATATGTGGTTAATGGGTTGACCTACTAATTTGTAACACCCTGTAGAATATGACAAAAATTCAAAATATGGACGTGTATAATTATTTTGTAGGTAAAATGTAAAAGTAATGATTTTTGTCTATTGGAAAAAGAAACGCATTTTGCAGATTAAATGTTTGGAATAGCTGTTTTACATTGACAATCTATTCATGAATAAATTGACGAAGTTCTTCATGAATTAATTGACGCATTTATTGGTAAACATTGCGGTTTTACACTGCTACAGACTTTGTCAAGTTTTTTGACGTATGAATCAGTTCTACCAATGAATCAAAGAAGCAAATAAATTTCAAAAATGTCACCTTTCCACTCATAAATATTGTAGTGATACAACAGCGGTACCGTTCTGACACATATTATATAAATATTAGTTTTTGTAAGTAACAATTCAGTAAAAACAATGCAAAACTAGTGCGACGCCACACAATTATTTACATATTCCAATAACATAACCTCATTACTGATCTGAGGCTGGAAATCTGTTGGGTTGGTACTTCCGAACTTCACGAAGAAATTGATGAAAATTAGAACATGCTCTAATTCGTCAAGAACTTGATGAATAAATTCATGAAGTTATTTGACAGCAGATTTGGTGCATTACACTTGTCCAATTTCTCGATGAAGCGACTTCATGAATTAATTCATCAATAAATTGTCGATGTAAAACAGCTATATGGAAATGTAATATGTACTCTACTGGACTATCATCTGTCTTTAGGGAATTTTTTGTTAATCATTTTTTTTGGTTATTGAAGAAATACTTAATAAATGAAAGGGCTGTAGAAATAATATCTGCCCAAAGAGTGAACACACCTCTTTCATAACCGTTTTCTTTATAAATTATTTGACATTGCAGACAGTACATTAATCAATGAAACAATTAAATAAATCCTATTTATGTTTATTAGAAACACATTCCTCGCTGGTGATGGGCACAACACATTCATCGACTCTACCTTCGCTGAGTAACAAACTCAACAGACTCACCCTTGCAACTTTTGACGAAGATGGTCGTTGCGTTGGCCAGATGGGCTCCTGGTCTTTTAGCTATTAATATTCACTTTAAAAGTACAAAAAAACATTCTCATAATTTTTAATATTCATTCCGCAGTTATAATGATTTCCATTTTTTACTGAATTCCGTATTAGTCTTTAACATCCCCTTTACGTTTATAACCAAAGATGTTTTATTATGTTTTACATTTCAGTTAGCAGGGCATAATCTAAGGGTTAGTTCTAACCGAAAAGGCAGTTCTTAAAAAAAAAGTTAGTTCTAAAAGTTAAAAAGGGCAGTTGCAAAATTTGATTGCTTGAAGTACTATGAAATTGAAATTTAATCAATACTTGTTAAATGCCGGTCCTCTAAAAGGTTAATAAATAAATGATGTTGGGAACAATTTATTTCCACAAATCGAATTTTTCGGGCGCTTTCTTTGAGCTAGCATAGGGTGATTGATTTTGGGTAGTTCTTAAAATTCCTTAGATTATCTCCTGTTAGTTAGGTTAGGTTTTTGTTAACTTATTGTTAAGAAAACAAAGCTTTAATTTTGATAGTTAATGCAGCAGAGTAAAATGCAGCTCCTTTTGATGATCATTTGTTGATATTTGTTTACTTTACACAAGCTGGAAATGTGTATATGAAATAAAATTTATAGTATACAATTTTTGTAAATTGTTTTTATCAACCTACCCTATAAGTATTTGCACTTTATTTTTTTTAATAGATAATATGATGTTGGAGGATGATCCACTGGATAGATATTTTTAAAAAACGGGAACACTTAATCTTGAACAGTTATACACTGTGGCCAAATGATAGTACATCTACGACAGAAAGATACAGGGTGGTTCAAATTAGAAAAAGTTGTGATGTGATAAAGGACCACAGACGGCTTGCGAATATTAAAGTAGTTATATTTTGATCATAAAATATGGGGCCCATACCGATATTTAGGGATGCATGATTTCTTGGCCCACATAAAGAACTTTAAAGATGAAATAATTTCTAATGAAATTTGTAAAGAAAATGAGGTAGTGGGCCCTGACATCTGAACCCCTTCATGCCTCTGCCCATCCATGACTCTGGATTGCTTGATCTTCTATTTTGCACATGCCCTAGCACAAAATAATTCATGTAATTTTTGCTTTACTTCCCCGAATTAGACGGATTCATTATAAAGCACACAGTTTTCTACATTGAAAGTTTTGAAGGTTGTACTATTTATGTATATAGATGTCTGTCGCGATTAAAATATTTCTTAATTCTCACTTCAGGCACTGGTTACAAGTTTATATGAATTGTAACTTGCGCAAACTGTTTTCGACAGATCGCAATTGTTTGTATATTTATATATTATTTTTTATTAACTGTTACCTACCGAAAAAATGTGCTTCTACAAGATGTTGCACTGTAATAAAAAAAAATGCTAGTGGGAAAAAATAAGAAAACATGTTTTTGCAGAAACTAATGTTGGTTTGTGTGCAATTCCAAATTTCCTAATTTAATACAGAAAGTGAATTTTGGATTTGTTTTGGTATAATAAAATAATGTACACGGTGGTTCACTATATTTTGACCCCCCCTTTAACTTTTTTGTTTTACGAATTATAAAAAATGTGGAGTACAAAAGTTTCACGATTTTTTATGAATTTTTCGAAAATGATAATTGAAAAACAAACAAAAAAAAAACGAAAAGGAAAAGAAGGTTTTTTATTAAGAAAATAATCTACTTCTGTGTAACCCATTTTAATTAAATAATAATACAAACTCTCAAACAATAACAATGTTGTCATAACATTACCTATCACTGTCACGGCCTACCACACAGGGTGTCTCACGGTGACGGCCCATTAGAATTATTTCAGAGACTATTTCGATTTGAATTTTGAGAATTTGGGATACCGGGTTTTCGGACATAGAAAAACATACAAGGTGTTCCATTTAAAAAAACCGACTTATGAAGGTTTGAAGTTAACTAAACTCGGCATTAAATTTCTAGCACCCTGTATACAATTAAGGAATTAAGCCACTGAAAGTATGAATGGGAAGCTTAGGGGTCTAGCTATCCCCCTTATAAATAGTGTTGCTTTATCTTTCTTATTATAAAATACACATGGTTTGAAGCTAGTCACTGTTTCTCGCAATTTTTTTGAAAAAAATTGAATATCTCGAAAACGTTAATTTTAGGAACAGGGAAACTTCATAAAAGTCCACCTAAAATAACATGTACAATCCAAAATTGCAATAATATATAGGGTGTTCCATTTAAAATAAGCAAGTTGATGGCGACTTCCGGTATAACAGGAAGTGGTACGTGGACGTCATTATTTTAGTTGAGAAGGGCATGCCTGGAAACCCAGTATCCCAAATTTTCAAAATTCATATCGAAGTAGTCTGAAATAATTCTAATGGGCCGTCACCGTGAGACACCCTGTATAATATTGTTCATGAGTAATTAGGCGTCTCACGGCCTAATTAGTGAGATTTAGTTAAAATATCTATACGCATTTTAGACCATATCAATGTCCGATATGGCAAAGTATGTTACAACTAAATCTGTAAATCCTTAAGTAATTGGAAAAAAGGCAGAAATACCTGTAAGAAGTCTACATCTTTTAGTTTTTTAATAGTATCTCGCTTATTTATGGACCCAATAAACTATGCTCGACAGGGAACATTCTATCCAAATATATAAAAATATACAGGGCATTCCATTTAAATGGAAGACGGAACCAAGAAGCGTAACAGATAAGTGTATGTTCATAAGGAAAATAAACGATAATTCACGTATTATGTAAAATATGCTCATTATTCTCAAAATAAATATCAATAAAAATACAGTGTGGTCCAGGTTTTGATCGGAATTTAGACTATTGGGTGATAAATAGAGCTGGGGACTCTGTCGGATGATCATAGCCGTCGCGTCGGCCTTGCGCTACAGCGCACCGTAAGAAACCGATAATAACGGCAGTTATTGGCTTCGCGTTTGCTTCGTGTATACCATAGACAAAATATATAATTTTAATATTCTAATAATGTCGAACCCGACAAGCGGTAAAAAGCGACCTTACGCTCATAAAGTATGTAAATTTATTTAAATTTACATTTATACCTAGGTACCTGTTTATTTATTTGTTTTTTAGAAATACAGGGTGTTCCGAAATTCATGCAACAAAAGTTGGTCATAGATTCTTAAGACAAATTTAGGGGGCCCGTATTTTTTGTTTTTGCCAACTGGCCCCCTCTTTCGGAGTTACAGCCCTCTGAAATCTGTCCCTAAGTCTTTTTTATATCTCAAACCACGTTGTACGAGAATCACTAAATTTGGTACACAGGGGTTTTATGACATGTGGAATCTCATAGTGCTACGCTTTTTGGCGAGAAACTCCCGTGAGACACTTTTTCGTGGGCTCCCTTGTCTTTGGAACCAGAAAAATTTGGTCGCAAATTTGATTTTTCTGAAATTATTAGTTAACTAGGAAGTCATTGAATTTAGAAACTTTTTGTCTCTTGATATTTGTTTCGTAAAACGCAATGTTTTTGAGGAAAATGGCGAATCACGATATGCATTCGATCACATTTTGACATTTTTCTCGAAAACATTGCGTTTTACGAAAAAAGNATAGAATCGGCCTGTTCAGGGTTGGCAGCTAATTATGAGACACCCTGTATTTATACCTAGGTACCTGTTTATTTATTTGTTTACGACGAACACGGCTATGGTTAGCCGACGAAAACCCCGAGCTTAGTGATAAAATGGGCGATTTTGATGAAAAAGTTTCAAGTGAATTTGAGACGTAGAACGATTTGTTTGTAAGATACAGGGTGTTGAATTACTTTACATTCAAATGTCTAATATATTTTACGTAGACTGATGAATGCTGTAGCAATGTTTAACTTATTTAACAGTAAAATTTCTTTTATAAATATGTTAACCAGTGGTGGATATTTAAGGGGCAGTACTACTAGGAATCTCAGAATTTCAACGCCGATAACACGGCAATTTCTTTTTTAGAAACACAGGGTGTCCCGAAATTCATGCAACAAAATTTGGTCATAGATTCTTAAGACAAATTTAGGGGACCCGTATTTTTTCTTTTTGCCAACTGTCCCTAAGAAGTCTTTTTTATATCCCAAAACCACGTTGTACGAGAATCACTAAATTTGGTACAAATTATTAGTTAGCTAGGAAGTCATTGAATTTAGAAACTTTTTTGTCTCTTGATATTTGTTTCGTAAAACGCAATGTTTTTGAGGAAAATGGCGAATCACGATATGCATTCGATCACATTTTGACATTTTTCTCGAAAACATTGCGTTTTACGAAAAAGTATAAAGTGACAAAAAGTTTCTAAATTTAATGGCTTTCTAGTGGACTGATAATTTTTAAGAAATTTAAATATGCAACCAAAATTTTTTGGCTCCAAAGACAAGGGGCCCACGAAAAAGTGTCTTAAGGGGGTTTCTCGCCAAAAAGCGTAGCACTGTGACATTCCACATGTCATAAAACCCCTGTGTACTAAATTTAGTGGTTCTCGTACAACATGGTTCTGAGATATAAAACAAAGATTATTCTTAGGGGCGGACATCAGGGGGCTATAACTCCAAAAGAGGGGGCCACTTGGCAAAAATAATAAATATGGGTCCCCTATAAATTTGTCTTAAGAATCTATGACCAAATTTTGTTGCGTGAATTTCGGGACACCCTGTATAGGTAACAGAATTTTACACCACACGTAAACAAATTACGTTTAATAATAAAAAAAAGTAGTGAATAGCTATTATTCTGTTACGGGCGGACTAAACAGAGCCCAACCTGCATCGTAAATATGCATTACTTCCACTCCGTCTTTCACTGCTGCGCGACGATAACCATGACCACCGCTGTAAACATTTTACAGATTTAGGAGCGAGCTACGAGGAGCTACGTATTCAATGTTTTTCAAATGAATTTTGCAAGTCCTGTTAAATTGACTGCACATTACAAATGTAACATTTCCCTTTTAATGTATTTCATAAGGCTAATATATTTAATTATTTAGATAACGAACTAAATTTTAAATGAAATATTTTTGCTTTGAAAATTTCTAGGGAGGACGGCACCCAAGTAAATTGCCTACAATTTAAGGTACCTAGTCATATTTCAGCAATTTGTTAACTGTAAAATAAAGGTCGAACGCGGAAAAATCAGTTTTCTAAACTTACGCATTATTATTCCAAAAAGTGATGGAAATTTATAAAAAAGACTAATTATCAAAATGTGTGCCAAAGGCCGATTCGGTTGACCGTCAAATTGTTGCTCCAGGTATTTGTTAACTAATTTCGTGAATTTTTTTACAACTAATTGTTTAATTACTAAACGTTAATTTTATAAGTTAATATCGTAGATATAGGTTCCAACTGATCCAAAGAAACGTATCGAAAAAGAAAAATTTCAAAAAGTAGAAATTAAATTGCTTTTTACAACTAACGAAGTAGGATGTGCAAAACAGCATTATAAATAAATTGCCCCAAAGTCAGGCAAAAGCCGCTCGGGAATGCGCACTATTTAAGTTAAGTAGAGCTTATTTGTACGGTAATTTTTTAAAAACAGGATCTAACGCTGGGCGCGCGCAAGCGCGCTAGCAGTGCTCTCGCTCCGCGTAAGATTTTTTA